AGAGTTTGCGTTTCACACCCAGCGACGCTACAACAACAACAACAATCGGCAGCAACAACAATTGAAGCCAGTACCTCCGTTTTGCCACATCTGCAAGACTTCAGGGCATCCTCGTACGCACTGCCCGTATCGTCAGCAATCGACAACACCACAGTGACAACTCCGGCCTTCAAGCTCCCAAGTCACTTCAACGCAAGCAAACCCGACAACTTCAGTCCAAGCTTCAACGACTCCAACAGGACAACCTGCACAAGGAGGAAGAAACATCGTCAACTGCATGGTGAAGATAGCAGATTCCTGCACAAACGAGTCACCACCATACTACTCACCAGAAGAACAACACGACAACAGACGCCTCGCCGCGAGTCACTTCAACCGAACCCGACATACGCTGCCATCGCTCAAAGCGAACCGTCCGAGAAAGACACATGGTTCTTGGACAGTTGCTGCGGACAGCACATGTGCTCTTCGGGACGCTTCGTCCAACGCGAACACCGACTTCAACGAGAGGTCGTCATCACGGTCGCCAACAACCAGAACCTGCGCACACGACGACAAGGAGTAGTACAACTTCAGTCACGAGAGACAAATGTTATACTGCATATGTCAAAAGTACTAATCGCGGAGGGACTCGGCTACAACTTACTGAGCGTCAGCCAGTTGATGGCGAAAGGCATTCACTTGGAAGCCGACAGTACCACCTAGGAGTTCAAATTATACCACGGGAAGGGCGGCCTCTACATCGCGAAGGCGGTCTTGAAGAATAACGTCTTCGTCCTAGACTTCGTTCCAGACCTGGGCACTGCAGACAGCGACGCCATCGTGAACTTCGCCGATTGGACACATCCTCCAGATCTTGATCCAGACTTCAGCTCGAAAGGCTTCTGGTACTCGCATACCATCCCTGAAGCAGAAAGAACACGCGCGTTAGCAACAAATCAACATTCGGCAGCAGCAGAAACATCATCGGCAGCAGCAGAGACAACATCGGCAGCAGCAGAAACAACATCGGCAGCAGCAGAAACTTCATCGGCAGCAGCAGAGACAACATCGGCAGCAGCAGCAGGACCAACGACACCAGTCCTCGTCAACAAAGCACCACCAACACCCGCACAGCAGTTGAAACCAACTGAACGAGAAGTCCACAGAAGCGCAAACTTCGTCGCCAGCTTCTACTCCAACTCCGACGCGTATCGACGCTCACCCGGACATCGCGCCTCCGAAGACATCTGGCACGCACGCATGGGACATCCAAGCAACATCGTGTTAAATAATACAATAAGAGCAGGAGTCCTAGACAAGGATTCATTACTATTACCCGATGGCAGAGAACTTCAACGGGCACGAGGAACTTGCCTTACCTGCCCCGAAGCCGACTTACCACATCGACCGTTTACTCCTCACCACAATCCGAGCGCACCCGCGTACGCCCCACTCAAGAAGGTGTACAGTGACATTCTCTTCAATTGAGAACCAGGACAAGTTACTTACAACTATACGATAACCTTCATCGACGCCGCCACTCGATACGTCTGGCACCTAAACCTACCCAGCCGCTACATGGCACTCGCAGCGTTCGCCACCTGGCTACCAGTAGCAGAAAGAGAGTCGGGAGCACAGCTGAAAAGCTTCCAGTCAGACGGAGGAGGAGAATACACCTCTCAGCGATTCAAGCAGTACCTGGCGGAAAGAGGAATCAAGCAACTCCTCTCCCTTCCCTACGCCCATCACCAGCAAGGTGTCGCAGAAAGAATGAACAGGACTCTGCAGAACAGCATGCGCAAACTGCTACGTGGCATGCGGCTACCCAACCACCAGTGGCCTGCAGCAATGCACCGTGCTGTCATGCTGCACAACTTGATGTCGTCGTCCTCACTCCCGAACAACGCATCACCGCATCTGCTGTGGACAGGGAAACAGGGCAGTACAAAAATGTTACGAGTTTTCGGGAGCATGGTACAGTACCGACCCCTAGAGGCACGAGCGGGAAGATTTTCACAACGCGCACAGTGGGGACTACACCTCGGCATCGAAAAGAATTACAACGCGTGGAAAATCTTCGACGTCCACTCCAAGGAAACAGTAGCAGCACGTGATGTGATCTTCTACGAAAGACTCACGCTTCAGACGTACCTCGCCAACTTGCACGAGAATCATGATCCCACAGGTGGCTTTCGAGGTGACCGAGCCTTCGCCTCAGCAGCGGACGAAGCAGACTGGGACGAGCAGACCGACGACAATGCATCAGAAGAAGCCGGACCTCTCCCGTTCCGCTCCGTCAACGTCCCCATGGACGAAGAAAATCCTTGCGAAAGCGCCAACGCCGAAGTCTTCTACCACTTCGCCGACACTGATTACGTAACACGTGCGACAGTCAACACCAACGAAGCAGAACGGATAGGGCCGAATTTCATACCCGGCCCAGAAGCGGGAGATGAAGCAGCTTATCCCGAGGACACAACACTCCCCCGCTACTCACAGACTGGACTGCAGATTCTCGGCCTCGTCACCGCAGTCCACGGCCATGCTCTTCCTAAAGAGCCTGCGACGGTTCAGCAGGCTCTGGGGGGGGGAACACAGGGAGAAATGGCGTGAAGCCATGGACAGAGAGTTGAAGGCGCTGGAGGAACGTAACACCTGGAAAGTCGTTCCCGTAAGCGTGGCAAGGAACAAGACCATCCTTACCGGGAAATGGGTCTTCCGCATCAAAACGAAAGCAGACGGCACAATCGAGAAATTCAAAGCACGCTGGGTCGTGCGTGGATTCGACCAGGAGCACGGACGGGACTTCACCGAGACATTCGCCCCGGTCAGCCGACACACCTCACTCCGAATTCTCATCGCAATCGCCGCTATGAAGAAGAAGAAACCGCGGCAAATCGATCTCGCCAACGCATTCCTCTACGCACCCGTCAACGCCGAAATCTTCGTCGAGCTCCCACACAGTACCCACGGGGAACCTAACCAAGTCTGTCAGTTACTAAAATCACTCTACGGAATCAAACAAGCCCCGCGGCTGTGGCAACAGCACCTACACACTCGCCTCACTCGCATCGGATTCCGTCAACTGCCTCACGACCAAGGAATGTACCGACTCACCAAAGACGCCGACTACATTCTGCTGATCGTCTACGTCGACGATTTACTCTACATCGGTTCTACTGACGACATAACTACCTGGTTCGAAGAGGAGCTGAAGAGGGACCTCACACTCACGGTCTCCTCTACCGTCACTCAGTATCTCGGACTCAACATCCGCGAAGAAGAGAACGCGATCTACCTCAGCGCCGAAAATTATGCCGACACTATTGCCAAACGCTTCGCGCTCACACCTGCTACTATCTCCACGCCAAACCGCTACACGGCAGGGAACGACAAGGGAAGCTCCGCTTTACTCAAGACCGCCGGAATACGCGACTACCAGCGAAAGCTGGGCTGCCTCCTCTTCGCAGCCGTCACCTGCCGCCCAGATCTGTCCTACTCCGCAAGTCAACTTGCTACCTATCTCAAAAGGCCCGAAACAGAACACCTGGCGGAACTCGACCGCGCTCTTCATTATTTCGTGAGCACTTCAACGATCGGCCTGACGTACTACAAAAATACAACTACGCCGACGAAACTAATCGGCTACGTCGACGCCGATCACGCCGGCGACTCAGACAACAGGCGCTCCCGCACTGGCTACATCTACCGCCTCGAACCTATCGGACCTATATCCTGGCAATCGAGCAAGCAGGAACTAATTGCTCTCTCTTCAGCTGAAGCAGAATATATCGCACTCTGCTCAGCCACCAAGGAAGGACTCTACCTTCGCGAGCTGCTGGAAGAAGCGAAGTTAGCCGAGTTACCCAACTTCACTCTGTTCTGCGACAACCAATATGTGATTCGTATCGCCAACAAGAGCGGATTCGCGAACAGAACGAAGCATATCGCCCTGCGATATTTCTTCGTGAAGGACGAGATCGAGAAAGGGAAACTCAAACTATCCTACTGTCCCACGTCCGAGATGGCTGCTGACTACTTGACCAAGAAGCTCGGAAAACAGAAGTTCGAGTACTGCATGCTGCTGACTGGACAAAGCCACGTCACCATCAGCGACACTCCAGAAGCGAAGGGGAGTGTTGGGAACAAATAGTTTAAGCGCCTCTGTCGTGTCGAAACTCAAGACACAAGCGAAGCAGCTCAAATCGAAGCACCGCGAGTCAACCCTCGGAGGTAAACGTAACCGCTGGAGGTTACGAGAAAGTCAAAGGTCAGCGACCTTTGACCTGACGCAGCGCGACAGCAAGGACACACAACTGACTCGACATTGAGCAGTTGCCCGAGTTGCACTGTATCGAACCGCAACAGTAAAACAGTTACAATTATGTCTCTTCATATTCTCTGTACTCATATATATATTCCTGTATCTCTTTGCATTAATCATCTTACTTTGCTCTCACATACTAGCGTAAGGTGGTTCAAAGACTTTTATCAATACGCTTCCGCTATTACATCTTTTACCCAAGACTTTAACTCTACTAAAAGATCCTAGGGCGTTCAGCCCAACAGCAGGGACCACCAAGTCAGAAGCCTGTAATCACCCTGAAATCAGGGTAATTACCCTGATATCGTCAGCCCTGGCTCAGGGAGAGCACTGTATTGTGGCTGTAAATACTGTATGCTTGAACTGTATGCTCGCAAGATATTTGAGATTGTTGTATAGGTCATTGTCAAGTGAGTCCGTTGTTGCAGAAGGTTAGAAAATTTCGTGCCAACGAATAATTGTGTGATGCGTGATGGACATGTACACTCCGAAACCTGACACAAAGAACCAGCAGACAGGTAATTAAGCAGTGGAATGATGTATGGCACCCGGAAATCAGTGTGGGTGAACATGCTGTCACTCTTGGGGAGCAGAAGCAGCAGACTTCCATTCTACAGCATCGGGGCAATCACAAATCCCCATTGTCGCTTGAAGGGAGCTCCTCGTTATTGCGGAGGGCGAGGACGATGAAGGCTCAGAGGAGGCGGAGCACACTGCCTGCCAGAGAAAATGCCAAGTGCCCAGAGGGAGACGTGATAATAGTGGTCATCTTGGCTTGCGCCTGCTGAATAGGCCCTGCAAAGAGGGAGAGCAGGTAAGGTGGGGAAGGTAGGGAACGCAGGGAAGGGAAGGAGGGAGGGGAATGTAGGAAGGCCAGGGAGGGAAGAGAAAGCAGGGAAAGGAAGATAGGGAAGGGAAAGTAGGAAAGGGAAGGAAAAGAAAGGGAGGGAAGGCCACGAAGATGCAGGCTGATAACTGGCAGAGCGCACTGCCTGGAAATTCGTCTAGTCCAGCAGAGCCAATCCATTGTTTTTAGACCACAGTTCTCTGTTACAAGGGTGGCCAAATGAGTCTTTTGCCCACCCCAACAGGACCAGTTGGAGTTTAACAACACACTCGGGGCAATGCTGTTAACAGCCCACCATCCACCTCCCACAATCCACCACGCATTATCCACCATCCACCATGCACAATCCACCATCCACCATCCAGCGTCCACCATCCACCCCCTTACTCACCTCACCACCATGGCAGCATAGAGGGCGGGAAAGGAAGTAGGGCAGATGGACAGCTACACACAGTAATTATCCCCCCCATCTCCCGCCCCCCTTTCCTCCCACCATTTTCCTATTCCCCACCACACACGCTCCCTTATCTGCCATCTCACCGGCACTGCCTTGTCTTCACCCCACTCCCCCCCTCTTCTTACAACGCACCCACAAGAGGGCATGAAAGACAGGAAACGAGTGGCAGGGCCGTGGAAGAGGTGCAGGTGGGGAATGTGCAGGTGGGGTGACGCTTCGAGGGGATGGGGTGGGGGTGGGTGCGATGGGGGAGGAGGAAGGGAGAAGCAAAGAGAATGGGGAAAGCAAGAAGTGTTGGGCGGACCATCATGCATCGTTGCTTGAGTGTTGTCCTAGTCGTTATCTCGACCAATCCCACGACGATGGGGTCACTGCTGGAGAGCAGTCGGGCGACACCAAGGTCCATCGCAGGCCAGTTGTGTTCCGCTACGAGGGCCTCACTGCCAGGGAACAGCACGCAAAGTACGCGCACACCTAGGGCGCGTGATGTGCTCTGCTCTGCTGCGGTCTCGTCAGCAAGCTCTTGCTGGGTGGGTGGTATAGTCCAGCCCTGTTGACCTGTGGCCCATGGCCCTATGCCCGTGATCTGCGCGTACATTGACTTGCGCTAGCCACTGGATCCCACTGCCTCCTCGCCAGCTGACTCCTCCCGGCAGGATCAGGGCATGGGGGAGGAAGACGGTGGGGGAGAGGCGTGTGGCCAAGGCGTGAGAGGGGGAGGTGTTGGAAGGAGGCGTGGAGGGGAGGCACAGGCGGGAGGCGTGGGGGAAAAGGGGTTGGGGAGCGGGTTGGGCGAGAGGTTTGGGGGAGAGGCGTGGCAGAGAGGGGTAAGGGTGGGGCGTGCGGAGAGTGGGGGAGAGGTGCGGGAAAGCAGGGAGGGGAGACGGTGGGTAGAGGCCGTTGGGGCAAGCGGGTGGGGGAGAGAGATGGGGAGAGGTGTGGGGGAGAGGGTTGGGGGAGAGGGTGAGGGAGAGGGGTGGGGGAGAGGGTTGGGGAAGAGGGGTGAGGGAGGGTGGTGGGGAGATGGGTGCAGAGAAAAAATGGGCATTGTGGCTTGAAAAAATAACCAATCTTTGCGTCACATACCTCACCCTTTTTGTCCGAGCCTTCACCTACCCTCATCTCCCTTCAACCCCCCTATCTCCTCTTAAGCCTCCCACACCCATGGGCGCAGCCACTCGTGCATGCCCTGCGCCATCACCCCTCACCGCTCATCCCCAAATCCCCTCCTCTCCTCTTCCCCCCTTCTCTTCTCACTCACTCACCAGCAGGCGCGACCACTCACACATGTCCTGGGCCAGCTTGCGCAGCACCACGCGGTCTGCTACTGCTGGCATGCGGCTCTCACACACCTGGCGGGGGGAAAAACGGGGAGAAAGGGGAGGGGGGACAAGTATGGATCAAGCACACTCATGCATTTGGCATGAAGCCAGGACCGCATTGGAACAAGAGAAAGCCCTGAGAGGAGCAAGGAGAGTAGAGAGGAGTAACAAGGAGAGTAGAAGAGGAGCCATAGAGAGTAGAAGAGGAGCAATAGAGAGTAGAAGAGGAGCAATGAGAGTAGAAGAGGAAGGAGAGTAGAAGAGCAAGGAGAGTAGAAGAGGAGCAAGGTAGAGAGTAGAAGAGGAGCAAGGAGAGTAGAAGAGGAGCAAGGAGAGTAGAAGAGGAGAAGGAGAGTAGAAGAGGAGCAAGGAGAGTAGAATAGGAGCAAGGAGAGTAGAA